CCTTGCCTCTGCTCACGGCCAATCAGGATGGCGACGACAGGTATCGCGATCGTCGCCATACCCGTGGTGCTTACCCTCCGTCCGTGTGTTTGCCTCACCGAAGGCGCCTTCGGTCGTGCGCGTGGGTAGGAAGGTCCCTAAAACAGATGGGGCCGTTCGTTCGCCGTGCGCCCGCCTCCCTTCACCCATATGCACCTGCTCTGGGCCATGGACTGAGTGCCAGCATCACAGCCAAAGATCGTTCCGGTGAGCCATCTCTATTCGTCCATCGTGCTACGGCGGAAGCCTAGGAGCTTCCTCCTCCTTCACTTGATTTTGTTCCCCACAACCATGGTATAATGCGTCCAGACAAGGTGCACCATTGGTGGCAGGCTGGCAGCACATCGACTTGGGGTGGGGGTCACCACCACCACCACCATCGCTCCTTCAACACTACAGAAGAAGCAGCGCACAGAGATTGTCGATGAAGCCGACACGCGCCATCCTGCTCGAGCCTCGTCACCAAGGGCACCACCGTCTCTTACGCCTCTGGCCATGGTTTTTGGTCACTGGTGAGGTTTTTCATCTAAACATTCTCTTTTAACTCATATTTTATACCTCTCCGTATGGTCTATGCTGTGCTTGCGATTTTACTCTTTTGTAATTATACAAGTTGGGTGTGCTGACTAATGACAGTGTAAAGAAATTCATCAATAATGGGCTGTTGCATGTGCTACAGTACGTGCCCATGCGGCCATGCGTCGTTCGTGCGCCGCTGTGCCTGACCATGCCACCCAGCTCGCGCAGCCGAGCGCACGCACTGCCTCTGGTCGAGCCGCCACCGCCCAATGAACTGCAACCTCACACCACACCTGGCTCAGCCGCGCTATGCATGCGCATCGTCGCCGCCTTGCTGCATGCACTGCACATTCATGGCGAGCGTCATTGTGTGCCACTGCCGCTGCGTGCCTCGACCCTGCTTACTTTGTGCCTTTTGGCATTGGCCACTCCCATGTACTGCACTCGCCAGTGACCTCCAGCATGCGCCCCCTCCTATGGGTGTCACTACTCGCATACGCCGCCTCTCTGACTGGTGTTAATTTACAAACTATCAATCTCGATCCAAACGAGTTGATTAATTTTTAACTTGACCATCATGCCCTCTCATTTGAAAGGGTATGTTTCAATCTCCACCGTAGATTCAATTTGCAGGGGTGTGCAAAAGTGAAGCTCATTGCACAGCGGAAGTTGCTCAACTTTGTAACGTCTCGAAGCCAATAGCAGGATAAAATGTTTTGACGCGAGATAGCTTACCATGTACCAACGTTGTTGATTGTCTTTCTTGTGTTTTCATCGCCTAAGAGTCTTGATAATCCGAAATCTGCAATTTTCGGAATCATATTGTTATCTAGCAATATATTACCAGGTTTCAAGTCCAAATGCCATACTGAAAGCTCGAATCCATGCTGAAGATATTCTAAACCATGGCAGATCCCTTTGATTATTTTGTATTGTGTATGCCAATTAAGTGTCGAGCATCCATCAGCTGTAAACAAAAACCCAAAAAATATTAGTAAAAATTGTCATCTAACAATGCTTGATGAGTAAGATGCTAAACTAGATATGCCCCGTGCGCTGTCGCGAGAACCATGCTAAAACAAATTCTTATATATCCGCTTAAAAATAACTAAAACTGATAGAAAATAATGTAGAGAGTGTTCTCGGTTTACATTTTAGAAACAATAAAACCTACAAAGTATATTACAAAATGATTTATAAAAAGAGACAAACTTATAAATTGAACTTAACACGACGTCATATTTTAAAAATATGTAAAGAATGAACTTGTGATAAACATGACTTGATTCCCTTGGGAAAAAGACATGCATGAATTGATGAGGTGACATGGTTTGCATGGATAGATTAATGCAAAAAAAAATATACTTCCTCTGTAGATTACTATTTTAGTGATCTAAACCCTCTTATATTTCTTACGGAGGGAGTAACTTATAAGTACATACATGACTTCTAATTTCGTAAAATTTCAGTTGGATGACTGTCAATAATTAAGGTGGCGTGGAAGCAACCATGTGCACAGAAATCTAGTAGTGGGGGACAACTATTTGAATATAGGAAATATGTAAAATGGGTTTGCAGTTGCACCAACTTAATTACCAGAAATATGATTGGCAAGGCTACCATTGCGTACATACTCGAAGATGAGCGCCGTATGCATCTTGTAAGCAACAACTGGGTTCCCATTATGTTCTACAAGTACTTTCTCCATTTCATTGCAGTAACCTAGTAGCTGAACAACATTTGGATGCTTTAGCCTCCTAAGGTTCTCGAACTCCTTTTGAAAATCCTTATTATCAATTCCTGTGATGTTCCATAGTACCTTCACAGCAATTGCTTCTCCATTTTCACAAATACCCTGTGCATCATCTCTCATTAATACTTAGCACCACCATTGCTTTTTTGTGCGAGCATGAAATGTAGTTGCATTTGCATACCATAGTAGGAATTGCTAGCAGTCTAGCGCCACTTGTACTCTTCCATGCTAGCAAGAGATGCCTACTGTATTTGGTGTTATTGTCACTTTGCCTCTTTGTCACTTAAGTACTGACATGTCTCTGTAATTACATGCCTCTTAGTTGCCATTATTTATTTCCTGGTTATTACCACTATTTTTAATGATATACCCATACCATTTCTTTGCAAAAAAATACAATCTTTTTAGTAATTCAGGATCATACATATAGAAAGATAGCTATTGTAGATTCATATCAAATATATAAATTTGAGGCAAACATTTTGTTCATAGTCATATACCTTGTAAACTGTTCCGAATGCACCAATGCCAACTATTAGATCCTTGTCGTAATCATTTGTAATCTTTTTTATGAATTGGTGTGATAGCTCACATGGCTGATCACTTTTGAGATCTACCTTGTTCCACATGGTACCGCTCCTGGTTAAAAAATGAAAGTTTCGTATAAGAACCAGCATATGTTTTTCATTTAACTTTGAAAGAAGAAGCATTGGAAGATAACACAGGAGCAACATCCAGCTTACTTGTCCTGTGCCATTCGTGCCCGCGAGGTTTTGCAACTACAGGCACCCAAAAAAGGTTGTTAATCGACGTACAGAGTAGTATTGAATACAGTAGATATCGCGTGAGCTAGTGCTGCATATATTATAGAAGGAAGGATCAGGTCAGGTCATCAGGACCAGATCTTGTATTAAGATATTGCAAGACACAGTTTTAATCTCGAGATGATAATGTGCATCTTGGCACGGGAAACAGGGGCCAGATTCAAATTGTAGATGGAGATCTCGCAGCCAGATGAAGAGGCACGATGAACTTAGAGCATCGCCAATGGGTCGTTCCAATCGAGTGGCCAGCGAGAGCTAGGTTCGGTTGCCATGGTGAAAGAAAAACAGTGGTTCTTCACTGGAAAAAGCCACGAAAAAAATAGAAAGGGGACCTGTGTTGGCTTTTGAACTTGCTAGATCAAATCACCCAGGAATACGTATGTGCAAGCTAGCAAGCACACAAGCAAGTAGGTTGAATGATGTACAGTAGCACTAGCACATGCACGTATGCCGTAAGCTTCTGTACGTGCACCTGGCCTGGGAAGCTAGCTCTCTAGCGACAGGATCAATTCCATGTACTATGACGGAACGTAGCGACGGAACAGACGGGAAACACAAAATCGGTATGATGGCCAAAGGCCCGTATCAAGGCTAATTTTTTTAAAAATAATACATTTTTTAATTAATTTGCATAAATATTACGCCGGTATTTTTATTTTAAAAAATAACACACCATCGGCCTGCTGCAGGCTGACTGGGCCTAGTCGGCCCACTGCAGGCCGATTGGCTTCCAGTAGGCCCGCAGCAAGCCGACTGGGACTAATTGGCTTGCTGCGAACGAATTAGTTCCAGTCGGCTTGCTGCGGGCCGACTGGAAGCCAATCGGCTTGTGGTGAGCCGACTAGGTGCATGTGGCCATTTTTTTTTTCTGTTTTTGGTTTTAGTTGTTGTTTTCTATTTATTCTAGCTATCAAATGAATCTGGTTTGTATTGATACTTTTTGCATTAATTAGTAGCAATATTAACATGCCACATATAATTTTTTATAATTTTTGAAAAAACACATATTTACATTTGTATTTGATAGCTCCTGGTGAATATAGATAGGGTTTAAATTTATTTATCCAAATTGATTTTTATTTTATTTTATAAATGTGAAAATATTGAGGAGAATGGTTTAAACATTTTTGTGAAACAATTTGAGGAAATTTTTTGGCTTATGAAACAATATGAAACAATTTTTGTGAAACAATTTGAGGAAAATTCTCAAATTGTTTCATAAGCCAAAAAAGCATTCTCAAATTGTTTCATAAGCCAAAAAAGCAGTGGTGAAAGAAAAACAGTGGTTCTTCAGTGGAAAAAGTGACAAAAAAATAGCGACAACGGGAGAAAGGGACCTGCAGGTGTGGGAGAATTCGATGCCGAAGCCGGGTTGCGTCGCTCGGGGCATTAGCCACGCAATCAACTTCCACGGGTATCTTTGGAACCGCTTCTCCAGCTTCCAGCATGTCTCACGAAGGTAGTTGCAACCGGGGTCATGAGGGTCGAACTGGATCCCCTTGCAAAGGTCGGCGAAGCATTTGGCCACTTCTTCATTGTTGCCGTAGCCGTGTATGATGACGCCTCTCTTCACCAGGAGCTCCACGTCCTTCGTCGTGCAGGCCACCTGGGACATGAATAGACAGTATGCCGTGACGTGGCTCCCCACCGTCTCCCGGTTCCGCTGCTCCAGCTCCATCAAGTTGCGTAATAACCGCCACGTCTCGCTGTCGATGTCCAGGCAGGGGACCTCCAGCGTGCCGCCACCACCGTCCAACTTCACGTCGAGGATGCATCGGATGAGACCCTCATCGCTCATGGCCCGAGCCTTGAACTTCACACCCGCGAAGTTGTACTCCGTCGCCGAGCGCCACCGGCGCACACACATGAACTCGACGGTGCTAACCGGCGCGGCAGGCGAGATGGTTAGTTCAACAGGCTTCAGGTGCATATGAAGAAGATGGAGAAGATTGCCCGGCGCCAGCGGTTCTGGAGGCGCCATGGCCGCGTACTTTTGCATCCTCATCAGATCAAGGGCATAATCCGAGATCTCTGTAAGCACACGATCCTTACCGTCCAAAGTGGTCAGATCCCCAATCTTCTCAAGGACGAAGAACGGTATCTGGTTCTCCGCGAGATAGAACACGTCGCGGACGACCGCTAGCGCCTCCGCCCTGTTTGCCGACGAGACGCCAGCCTCTGCAGTCACCACATCATCTAGATGAGGTGCTCGGAGGCCGACGAGGCGGGAGAGTATGTAACAGCCGTCGAGGAGGAGCATGCGCACGAATTGCTCGCTCGTCATATCATGAAATGTGTTGGCGTAGCAGTTCCTCGTGTCGCGCTCCAGGCATGCCAGCTCCTTGACGTAGACTGCCACCGTCATGGTGGGTCTGACTGCCTTCGCCGCCGAGAGCAGCAGGTCAAGGCTCGCCAGCTTGTCGTGCTCCATGGCGAGGTGCGGCTTCTTGCTCTGGGGCCGTGGGTAGTTGTACGGGCCAATGGCTACGTGGTCGAGATCGTACTCGATGCTGTCGACGTTGCGTGTGAGGTCACGAACCTTGCCGACGAAGATGGGACAAGGACGGACGCCGTCGCGGACCACCTTGGATGAGTTCAGGGTGGCCAGTTTATTTTCTAGCTCATGGACCAGCTGATCCATCTCCAGATCGCAGGAATCCGAATCCCCAGATTTGCCTACATACAGTCCATCGATCAGCCAGCAAGTAGAGTGTAGTTAATTACTCAACTATGTTCTGAAATTAATTAGGAATAGATGGAAAAATTGAACAGACGGGAGGGTAAGGCACCTTTTTGATCCATTTGCTTCTCCACCGATGGCCTTAGGCTGCCGCCTAGCTAGCAGAGTAGCATGCAGTTGAACTCGTGAAGTTGAGCCACCCTTTCAAGGCTCAACCCTGTGTTCCAGAGTTTGTGGCCCAGCATGCATGATAACGCATCCGGACCAGCAAGCGCCCTGCAGCGCTTGGTTACGGCGAGAATCGCGAGGTAGGAGACGGTGAAGGAGGGAGAGAGTGCTCGTGAAGGAGATGGTAGGAGGTAGTTGCGCTAATTTGTGGGGTGCAGGCGAGACGTCAGGGCGGAGACGAAGGGATAAGGCCGCTGCGTCGGGCGGGTAGTAATGATGTTTTACCCAAAGAGAAAGAGAAACGAAAGCTTAGCTACAATTCTCCATTGATAGCGCCCGCGGAAGGTTGCGTGGCTGCAAGAAAGAAAGAGGGAAAGAATCCGATAGAATGTTTTGGCTTGGCGTGGTTTGGGCTTTGCGCTTGTTTGGTGCTTTGCAGCGCTGCATCGCCATCAGGTCTGGCCTAGGCGGCACCACCAACCATGGCAAAAGGAGCAACTTTAGATAATGTGACTGGTTTGCCTTTCGGTTTGCAATAGAACATGCTTTCAGTACGTCTCATGAAATTTCGACACCCACATCTACTTTTAATTAGACTAGAGTACTTGACGCACAAGTTTATCATATTTAAAGCTCCTTGCAGTGACTGTTTGCTTTTGGGCCACTCTAAATCTCAGTGCGGTTGTTGGTGTTGTGCTTTTTAACTTTGTATTATTCTATACTACCAAAAGCTCAGAACTCAGAACTAACAACCACCATGGTATGGTATTTCTCAAAACAAAACAATATTTTTTCGGCCTGCCAGCTATAAACGAAGGACAAAAACTAATGTTGGGTAACTGTACAATATATTACGCTCTATATGTACAGTTATTCAACGGTGTGTTCAATCTCCAGAAGTTTGCGAGGCCCTTCGTCTGCGCTGGCTTTGGTATGATTGTGCCAGCCGCCCCAAGACTTGGTCCAATTTGGGGACACCATGCAATGAAAATGAGAATGATAGATGTTGATGTATAATGTGCTGCCTAGTCTCTTCCATCAGATCGGTCTTTTAGTTGCATTGGCTAGAGCATACACTTCTACATGGTATCAAAGCCAAGAGGTCTTGAGTTGAAGACCCGACTGGCGCAATTAAATTGCAGCCCAATTTCGCTCCACGTTTAGGCCTGAGGGAGCCACACGTGAGGGGGAGTGTTGACGTATAATGTGCTGCCTAGTCTCTTCCATCAGATCGGTCTTTTGGCTGCATTGGCTAGAGCATGCACTTCTACAATAGACCTGCGTGCGGCCGTCAATCCTGTTTGTATTGGAGATGGGTCCAAAGCCAAATATCGGGATCCATTGTGGCTCCAAGGTATTAGGCTAACAGATATTGTTCCCAAGATCTTCGAGCTCTAGAGAATGAATTCTTGCTCGGTTTGGAAAGCCCTACTGGCGTGTTAATCAAATCAACAGGAATCACGGCATCTCAGCACCCGCATCCAAGAGATTGCCACTCTTTAGGGAAAGCTTTGCTATGTTAATCTCAACCATGGGGCGCATGATGCTTTTTCTTGAAAAATTCACTTTGAATAGTCAGTAATCCGCGTCACCCGCCTACATAGCGCAATTTGCGAATCTAGCTACACGTCATATGAACCCATGCGTGTGGAAGGTGTGTGCTCCTCCAAAGTGGATGTTATTCGCATGGTTCACCATCCAAAATTCTGTTTACACGGCCGATAAATTGATGCACCTTGATGACCGAATTGTAGCCTGTGTCCCATATGCAAGAAATCTCAACATTTGTGGCACATCTTCTCTTCCAATGATGTTTCTCTCAATTGATTTGGAACGAGCCCGCATCTTGGCTTGGTCTTCATGACACCACGTCAAGTTGTTGGCACCACGAGACAACGGCGAGAGATTAGTGGATCAAAGCGGTCAACGAGATGGGCAACCATAGGAAAGATCTTGCCTCACTGATGATGCTTGCGTCCTCGGAAATTTGGAAGGAGCGCAACACGAGAGTCTTCTGCAATATGGCCGTCGTAGCCACAATAATTATTGTTTTTTCGAAACGGAGGTAAAATATTTGCCTCATCTATTAAATAAGCAGAAGAGAATTGTTCAGTTAATTAGTGGAAAACCGGACAAAAACCATCACAAATCGCTGAGCGGCACACACAAGATACCCACACACGCCACTCTAAAGAGGGCCTCGTCGAGACAATACAACGACTTCATCGTCATCACTTCTTCCCTAAAGGCGTCATCGCCATCCCAAACTCTGAGGAACGACTCTGACTTCGCCAAAGAAGGTCGTCAAACCAACCCGCACTGAAAATGCCGTGTGGAGTCACATGAAGATCCGCGCCAGACCTTAGCCACTGCGACGAGACAAAGCAGCTCCGACACCGATGAGAAGCTACGAAGGAGAACTAGGCAAGGCTGGCGTCGTGGAGGATCACCGAACGGACCACCTGCTACCCGTCGTCATACGCCACATGGCCCCGCCATAGCAGCTTCGACTTCAAAGCAACAAACCAGCTGGGGTCATCCCACAAACATGCCGGTGCAGAGCCGACTACCTCAACCAAAGTCGTGTCTCCCACATCGCTCCCAGTGACACCGTTGCCACAGAAGCCTCAACGTCAACTACGACACCAAGCCGCGCTCTGCGCAGCACACCAACATCGCCATGCCACTGCTAATTCTGGAGCTTGCGTTGGTTTTTTCCTTGAAGAGGAATGGGTGATGCAGCAAAGTAGAGATAAGTATTTCCCTCAGTTTGAGAACCAAGGTATATGTCAATCTAGTAGGCAACAACGCACAAATCACTGAATACTTGCACAAACAATCAAACAAACTTGCACCCAACACGGTAAATGGGTTGTCAATCCCTTCATGGTTACTTGCAAAAATGAGATCTGATAGAGATACATAAACGATAAAGTAAATATTTTTTTGGTATTTTTGGTTTATAGATCGGAAAGTAGAAGACTGCAAGAATAGTAGATCGGTAACTTGTATGATGGAAAATAGACCCGGGGGGCATAGGTTTCACTAGAGGCTTCTCTCAAGATAGAAAATAATACGGTGGGTGAATAAATTACTGCCGAGCAATTGATAGAAAAGCGCAAAGTTTTGACGATATCTAAGGCAATGATCATGAATATAGGCATCACGTTCGTGTCAAGTAGATGGACTCCTCCCTGCATCTACTACTATTACTCCATACATCAACCGCTATCCAGCATGCATCTAGAGTATTAAATTCATAAAGAACGGAGTAACGCATTAAGCAAGATGACATGATGTAGAGGAATTAACTCAAGCAATATGATGAAAATCCCATCTTTTTATCTTCGATGGCAACAATACAATACGTGCCTTGCTGCCCCTACTGTCACTGGGAAAGGACACCGCAAGATTGAACCCAAAGCTAAGCACTTCTCCCATTGCAAGAAAAACCAATCTAGTTGGCCAAACCAAACCGATAGTTTGAAGAGAATTACGAAGATATCAAATCATGCATATAAGAATTCTGAGAAGATTCAAATAATATTCATAGATAAGCTAATCATAAATCATCAATTCATCGGATCTCGGCAAACGCACCGCAAAAAAAGTATTACATCGCATAGATCTCCAAGAACATCAAGGAGAACATGGTATTGAGAATCAAAGTGACAGAAGAAGCCATCTAGCTACTAGCTATGGACCCGTAGGTCTGTGTAAAATTACTCACGCTTCATTGGAAGGGCAATAGAGTTGATGCATAAGCCCTCCATGATCGAATCCCCCTCCGGCAGGACGCCGGAAAAGGCCCCTAGATGGGATCTCACGGGTACAGAAGGTTGCGGCGGCGGAAAATTATTTTCGCGGATGCCCCTATTGGTATGGGGATATATGGGATATGAAAGCACAAGTGCTCCCTGGGTGGTTTTGGTAATTAATGTCAACATATCTCTTGTTGGACTAATATTTTCATCTAGTATATTTCAGATAAGTCCAACAGTGGAGTGTCATGGACACAGGATGTGGAAACCCTTCAAGATGCTAAGGACAAAGAATTGGCTCAAGCTCAAAGCTCGGGACTCGACATTTTCTATTTTAGTGATCCAAGATCACATTGAGTCCATAGGAAAGCCAATACTATTAAAAGTGGATGAGGTGTTGCTTAATGGCTTGCTTACTCAAAATGCTTAGTGATATGCTCCAAAACCCTCAACCACTTTCTCATATCCACATATGTCCCAAACCAAAAGTCAAACTCGGCCCCACAATTTGATCTATCCAGCGCCACCGAGTTCATTTGACATAGCCACTGCCAGAAACCCTAGTCACTTCGGTCTCACCGATAGGGATCTCGGCCTCACCGAGATGGGATTGCAAACTCTCTATTTCCCTTTGTAAATGTTTCCATCTAACCGAGATGAGTGATCGGTCCTACCGAGTTCGCAATGTAAACTCTCTGTTTCCCCTTTGTAACCTTTCGGTCTCACCGAAATGAGCAAATCGGTCCCATCGAGTTTGCCTGACCAACTCTCTAGTTAGCTTATTGCCAAAGTTGGTCCCATCGAGATTGTGTAATCGGTCAAACCGAGATTACGTTATGCCCTAACCCTAGAGAAATCGGTCCCACTGGGTTGACGTGTCGGTCCCACCGAAATGCCTAACGGTCACATTATGAACTAAATCAGTCCGACCAAGTTTTATGATTCGGTCCCACCGAGTTTGGTA